CGCGAAAGATAGACAAGTAGAAGCTTCTAAACAGCGGTCCTCTCTAAACGGCACCCCTCAGCCTGTCAAGAAGACGAAACACATCGCTCTTTCGACTGAGAACTATTCTATCCTTGTGGCGAGCTACAATATTCGCTTCAGCGAGTAATCGCGCAGGTGCATGTGATCCGTCGGGCGGCACAACGTGGTACCAGACTTACGTTTGTTGCGGGCATGCACTTTGCTGGAGGGTCAGTCCACAAAACCCGTGGCGGAATTTTTCGATCTCGGGTTTGCTTTACGTCTAGCGATTTTGTGGGCAATGAAAAAAAAAAAAAAAAAAAAAACAGCGCGTTATTTTACGGGCGACCTTACGGTACCCTCAAAGTTCATTGTTTAAATGGGAACCAGAGCTCACATTTGAAAAATGGTTACATCTACATACAGTAGATGTACAGCATGGTCTTTTTGGCTCTATTCCTTTTTCCTTAAATCAGCCACATGGCAGTTGCCTCACTTTTTACCTAGTGCGAATATTCTTATTCGGTGCAATGAGAAAAAATTCTTTCGAAGCTGCTAGAATGCCTTCAAAGAATTTATGATTATGGGAACTCCAGCGAAAGAGCTGCAGCCGTGTTGAGAGTGAGGAAAATAGGCGTCGTAATGAACTGCCAAAAGACACATCTTGACACGTCTTCTCGAAGCTGTCTTCCTATTCTTGGAAGAGAGTCCGCGACAATGCTCACCATGATGACAGTATTGTTTGCAGTAGGCACGTTGAACTGAGAGAGAACAAATACCCCCAACCGTGGGTTCACGATGGTCTCTGTCATGCCAAAGGCGCTGTACAGACACCTGCCTAAAAGCGGCAAAAGAAGCATTCTCATTGCTATGATAGAAATTGTTGTCTGGATACCAAATTTCTCTGATGGTTGCATTGCATTTTCTTTCTCTTGTAAGTTTGTTTCTCGTTTGTGCTGAATCATTAATGAGCAGTGAGGATGGAAAAGTTGATCATAAGACGTTAAAAAATGAACTAGGAATGGTGTCATGTTGTCAGCGATCGAAAAAACGTTACGAAGGGAGCACTTACAGAAAAGGAACGATATAGTTCAGAGCCCACAATCATGCAGCTTAGTGGGACCACGACTTGGCCGACTGTGTTGATAGATAGTAACAAAGGCTGTAGAGCACCTGTAGGAGATAAAAACGCCTCAGGCACCTTTGGGATCTACGAAGACATGAAGATAGAAATGATCCAAACTATGTTAGGTGTTCTTGAATAAAGTGCTCCTGTTCGTATCAAAAATGCATCCACTCTTTGTCACTTACAAAGGCAAGGCTCGTGGCAAGAAGCACAGTTAGAAACGGAGGCGATAAAAGAGCACGACTAATCGCTTCCTTCAGTCGATTGTCTTCAACAGGTCTGACGTCTTCAGTAGAAAATGTAGCCGTGATATATGAGGGGTTTCCTGCTTCTAGGAGAGATTGCGCTTCACCTGATGGACGATTAGAACTGTCTTCGGCCAACAGAAGGTACTGAAATATGGCTGTCCACTGAGATGCACAAAAAATCCGCCCCAAACCTTGGAGAGCCGTTAGTACTGAAATGCCCACGCGAATATCTGAGTAACTGCATAAAGTAAATATTCATCAAAGCATCTGGACATCATTGCATCATTTTCTAGAACGTACCGCGACAATGTTCACGACTGTCATAAATAAAGATGCATATCCCATCGCCTGCGTGTAGCATTTGTCATCAAATTGCAAGGGAACGAATTCGCTGCAGAGGGACTGCATCACCAAGAGGGGCATCGTGTTGGCATTTCCAAGCACCAAACAGACGAACACTGTTCTTCGAACAGCTTCTTCTTTATCCTTGGCAATGATTCTTGTCAAAGGAAGGGCCAGCATCGAGCTGATTGCAAATACAGTGAGTGCCAAGACAATTGGCACCCATAGCTCTTGCAGCCCTGAAAAGCTTCCACCTGTAGAGCCTGCTTGTTTTACAGCAGTTGAGATTGTGTCGAGCACGGACCCGAACACAAGACATGGAATAAAGAGTTTGTAAAGGGCTACTCAAGAACAATAGTTGTGCAATAAGTTTGAAGCTCTGGGGGGTCAGGATTGAGTCTGTACATGATGAATTGTAAAGAACGCCAGAGTTAGAACCGCATGAGTCCGAAAGCATACCTTTTGAAATATTAGACGAAACCTCTCCCGGAAAATGTCCAAGGGCTGCAAGGACAGCCCCTGCTCCACTGACAGTAAGGAGCTCGACACTACCGCCGATACTCGCCTGCAAAATTCCAGCGGTGGTGGCCATAGCAGTGAAAGTATAAAATGGTTCACTCAGTTGCTGATGAAGGGAAAAGCATTCAGAGTCAAGCAGACATCAGAAGCACACCAGATATTCAACAGAGCGAGACGGAACGGGAACTGTATATTTTAGAAGAACTGGCTGGCGCCACCGGCTTCAGGCATTGCATGAGGGGGGTGGGCCTGATGTATACAGCATATTGTATCCAGTATGCGAGGGTGAGTGGAAGTTGAACATAAAGTGCATGTTCTTGATTGTCCCAGATGCGAGTAGTTCCTGAAGAAGCGAAGAATTCTTACGAAGGCGGATATTCGTCCTTGTCTACAAGAGAGAGGGCTGTGGTCTTCTTATTGGGTGTGTAAACAAGGTTGTCTTCAACACTATTCCTCCACTCATCTACGGCCTGGGGGCCAAGCCCTAATGGAGCGTGATATGTTTCTAGGGTCTTTCGTGTTGGGGAAGGAGACTCTGATGAATTATAAGTTACGGGCCCGGAGGAATGCCTAATTATGCCGTACTGGAACAGTTTATGAACAGTAGATCTACGCCTGTCAACTTGTCATGTTTTTTTTGAGTGGCTTGGGGGGTTTGGGGGAGTTAAATGACGTCACAGTGAATTCCACCTTTTTGGCATGGCGCATTAACGAAAGTTAGATTGCGCTGGGAAGTTGAATCAATTGACGCGGCCCAGTGCTTCAGAGGGATTGAGCCAGCACAGCACAGTGTTGCCCCACAGACCCCGCCCTTTCCTTTTTTTTTTGTTCTTGTGAGAGGCATTGTGACACGAGCAGATTGCGTTCCTGTATCATTTTCCTGAGCTCTTGCTACCCTTTCTCCATCACTGCCGTCGCGATGCTTTCTCAAATCTGTCTTTAAACAGCCTTGCTCAAGACTTCTACTGCTTTGGCCAAGGACACTGCAACTAAATGAAATTTGTATCGTGCAAAACACGGTCTTCTATGTTGTATTTAATTTGGCAAAGGGGTCTAACCACATGTCTGAGCGGTATTTCTCTGGAAGTCAGAGTTTTGTTCAGTGTTGAAACGGCTTCGCACGACATATTGAACACTTATGAAAACCTGAACGCCTTAGACTGCCACGTTCATGGGTAAAAAAGAAAGAAGCCCAGGGGACTCCCTGTCCTTCAGACAGCAGAGTCGTTCCAGAAGACGAAACATTCCGTTCACAGGTAATACAATTCCCGGTTCAGAACAAACACTGCAGCTGTGCACAGTGCGCGTGTGGGAAGGGCAACTCTGCGACGCAGAGGGCAAGAGAGTACATACTGAAGTGTACAAGTGGCATGCCACGATGATGATATACTGTTAGAGTGCTATTTTCTGGATGCACCCAGTACTGGGTGCATCCAGAAAATAACACTGTATAAGGGACACCTGGACGCCTGTTTTGAAGCAGATGGACATAGCCAACAGGAATTGTTTGTTGCATTTTATTTGAAGATTTTCTGCCGAAAATGCAGAAAGCTGGAAGTCGATACTCCCTTCAAAAAATTCGGCGCTAGCGCACACTGTGCTGCAGGCAAGTATCGTCTCGCTTCACCCACCGTAATTGACAACGCTATACATCTTCACGTTCGGCCGTCGTGGGCTGTGATCGTTCCTCTTGGCCTTGATCTCGGCCTTGATGGACCCTTGGGTCTTTCATATATATCGATACCTGCACAGTTTGCGGAGCATCGACGACACTCAAACAAATGACTCCAAAACTCGTTTCGCATGCGGTGGAGGTCCCCGGACCATCTGCCTTAATAGATATGTAAGGAAACCGCGGCACTCTGTACTGGTAAACTCGTCCAGGGGGCAGGTGCTTTCACACCTCTTGACCGTATGGCAACGCCGTGCTGATCAACAAACCTTTGACTGACTGCTCTCTACGAATCCAACTCTCGCATTTCGACATGGACAGCAGCGCCACCCAAGCTGGGCCTTCAGGCTCGGACCGAACTGAGAGAAGAGTTGCGTCACAAGCTATGCAGATTGTTGTAGATCGTGCGATGCACAAGAAATATGCAAGGATGATTAGTCTGGTGGAGGAATGGTACGGAAAGGAAAACATGAAAAAGTGGTACATCAATCATTGTAATGCCATCATCAGGAAGAATAGCTCTCTGGATAATGAAGGTATAGCCAGAAAACTAAGAACCTCCCATTTTGATTCCTCTCTATGGGTGCTTTTCTCAGAGAAAGACTGTATGCTCATTGTAAGTTGTTTAAAATGGATTCAAACCCAGGACCAGTAGAATATCTTCTTCATTGTGGGATATTTGGGTACTTTCTTGGTTTCTGAACTAGCCTTCAATAAAGCATATTTGTTCTCTCTTGGGATTAGGGGTTACCGCAGCAGTTATCCAAGTTTTGGGCACAGTCCTCCTCGCAGCTGCAATTCATGAATTGCAGCTACGCGTCAGGACTTCGGCAATATGGACCTTATACTCTCCTGTCGTACACGTATGCATATGTGTAGGGGTAATACTCCTACTGCCAGAAGGTGCTACAGTGTAGTGTAAACATTGGGATTGCCGGGAAAATCAAAAATTTAAAAACGCCATGGCGCGGGGGGTGCTTCCTCATATTTAAAAATTTGACCGACGCTTGCCCTGGGATGCTCAAAGGCTGCAGTCTGACCCTTTTGAAGGCATCCTAGGTTGTTAGCCGTTTGAGCCGCAGCATCCAATCCCATGCCCTCTTGCTTAAACTTCCTCTCCTCCCCACTGACAACCGCTCTCGCCTGCACCTTCGTGGCTTCCTCTGCAACCCCGCGCTACACCCCCATCGCCACCCCGACTTGCCAGAAGGAGTATTCGCCCATCCGCTTTGCACAACCGTGGTACCTTCCTCACCTTTCTCTGCATGCTTCTCGCATACCTCTCCACCCTATTATGAACTTCCCGGCCGAGAAGGAGAACAGTCCATATAGACATGCTCTGCGTTCCTTCAACTCGTTTCAACCTTTGCAAAAGGGCCATTCACTTCCATTACATGTCGAACAAAACCCCATCGCTCGCTCAAACTTCAGGGAATGCCACGGAGTCAATGACGGGAACGTCCTGTCCAGCATCTCGGCATTGTCGGTCACTCCAGCCCCAAACCACATTACCACATCACCAGCGACATCGGCCATAACTCAACAGAAAAATCTTCCACCTGCTTATACTCCTCGACACCTCGTATCCACTGTCCGTCCCAACGACGCCTCCAAGGAAACGAAAAACATCAAATCTACCCATTTCGCAGCTTCCTCTTCACGTCCAGTGCATGAACAGAGGCTCGCGGATAGGGAACTTCCACGGGGTCCGCGGACAAGGCCCACCAGTTTTTCCCACCCGACCACATCTCTGGCACATCTCACCACAGCGGAAGGGAGAACTGCATCCAAAATTCCAACTCGACCGAGGACTTTCGCTGCAATGACCACCGACGACGCCAACGGACTCGCCCTTTCTTTGGCAAAGATGAAGGACCACTCTTCCATCCCTCAACTCCCGAAGCGTGTTTCCGCGAACGCTTCGATGCATGATGGCACGACAGCCATGAAAAGGGATTGGGCCAGTAAGTCTTCTATTCCAACGCGCCCGTCTAGTTTACAGAGTGACAAAGCGCGGCAAGATTTGGCGCCATCGCACATTCCCAAGCCTACCGCTCGCGTTCAACTAACTGTGTCTACAGTGCCTGCTAAGGCCGCCGTCAGGAATGTCCCGGCAACTTCCGTGTCCACCAAGTTGGCGGTATCCTCTACATCTACCAAGCCCTCCTCGGCAACGTCCCATCGCTTGTCCTCATCCTTCCAGGGAAAAATTCCGACTGCAGCACCAAAGCAAATCCCTGAGACCTACCGACATGCTGGTTCTCCCGCCAAAGACTCCAACCGACAGCACTCAAGAAGACCCCCATCAAGAGTCTACAAGAAGCAACCACTGAATCGGGTAAATGCATGTGTCCCTCCTAGCACAGAGAACACCGACGATCGTCGGCAGTGGACGTTAAATGATTTCAAGCTTATCAAACTCCTCGGAAAGGGTAGATTTGGCAAGGTCTTCAAAGCTAGAGAATTGAAAACCAACTACGTTGTCGCGCTCAAGATTCTCAACAAGGCTCATTTGTTGAAGGAAAAGGCAGAAACTCAGTTACGACGTGAAATCGAAATCCAAAGCGAATTGCGACACCCTAACATACTACGGCTCTACGGATTCTTTTACGACGAGACCCGAATTTACCTGATTCTTGAGTATGCTCCTGGTGGGGAGCTGTACAAACATCTCAAAGATTGTGGAGGGACTTTCGAGGAGCCACAGGTTGCCAGGTACATCCAATCACTTGCGAGTGCGTTACGACATTGCCACGCTAAGGGAGTGATCCATCGCGATCTTAAACCGGAGAACCTTCTACTGGATGGTAACAATGAGCTCAAAATTGCTGACTTTGGATGGAGCGTGCACGCAGTTCGGTCGAATCGCAGAACAACGATGTGTGGCACACTTGACTTTTTAGCCCCGGAAATGTGTGAGGGTCGGGAGTACGACACGACTGTTGACTTGTGGTCCCTTGGTGTCCTTCTGTATGAGATGCTCTACGGTAAGCCACCTTTCGAAGAACCATCTGAGTCTGATACCAAGAAGCGAATCACGCAGGTGGATATTGTTTTTCCCAATGTCGCTGAACATGACGTCAGTGCTCGCGCTCGACACCTCATACGAAGCCTATTGCGGAGAAATCCAAAGAAGCGGCTGTCCTTGAACCATGTACTTTGCCATCCGTGGATACTCAAACACACGAGATCAACGTAGAGAACTAGGTGTCGTTTTTGAAAAATTGTAAAACATCGCAGGCTAGGGTGGATCTTCTCTGCTTACCGATAGGAGATAAATTGACCCCGACCTCAACGGAGGAATGGACGAATGTGTTCCTTTGAGTTGTATTCGAACAATGGAGAAATCCTCATACAACATGCTTTTTATCAGAGACACTTGCTGCTCCTTTCGGAGTCCACAACCGTTCGTTCTCGCGTCGCCACATAATGTATAGGTCCTTCGCGCTTTGAAACGCGGAGAGAGTTGCGTCTCGTTTCTGATTGTCGTGATAGAGCCCATCGTTCTCTCCATCTTTGTTACCGCGGAAACACCTCAAGGCCTCTACGAGCTTTGTTTCTGCGTTGCGCAATGTTGGTAGGCACTCATCCGAAGTCTGTACTACCAACTGGAGCCAGTTCTTGATATTCTCGCGATCACGGACCGCAATCCTCCTCAATCTGATCGAGTTATGCGATACAGCCTGCAACAGTAACCGGAGTATAGCTGCCCTTACATACGGCAAAACATGTGGCACACCACGCAGGGCGACTGAGCTTGCGCTTAGCTGAACAGTCTTACGTCCATCTCGCAAAGATACATCAGCCACGGTGACAGTAAAATGAGCTCCTAGGGGTGTCTCAAATGAAGCCGAAGGCTCTGTGAAGGAAAGAGCCTCCCTGACATCGCGAGGAGAAAAAGGAACCTCGAAGCGAGAGATTGTTGGGTACCCTCGTTGCTTTTCTACAATTGAAGGGTTCAGTAGACCCATGACTTGGGGAGAGGAAAGCAATTCATGACTTGTATCTTTGATATCTGTGTTCCGGGATGGCCTTGAAAGACGTAAAATGTCAAGCGTGAAATTCTCAAGCAGAGGAACTTCGATATCGACATGATCTTCTGAAAGCGCAAAAGCGACAGGATGGTGGAAGGCAAGTGCCACCGAAACGTTAAATGGGGCGTGCGAATCAATGATCACAGGAAATGAAACAGACTGAACCGCTCCTGGGGCTACCTTCTTCAGTGGGTAACTCATTACCCTCCTCACTTGAGTATTCCCATCGATCGTGCGTTTGTTGCTGTTGATCGCGTGTGACACATTCATTTCGTTGTATTGTTTGAAGTCTCTGTCCGTGAAGACCCCCACCCTCAGCATCCAGCCATCTCCTAAAGTAACGCTAGTTTCGTTCCTGAAGGAGACAGTGGCAAAAACTTCTCGTCCAAGCAAAGGATTAGGAAGTTGAAGCCGCGGTGAAGCTGTTGCAGACGAAAGATCCACAGCAATCTTGCATGAGGCTTTCCTGCCGAAACAGCCTTTTGACACGCTGTTCCTTTCCTTCCATTCACTAACAAAGATCAGGGCTACATTGTAAGAGGATATGAGTTCTTCAATGCTTTTACATTCTGACTCATACAGCTTCTCGCGTTCCCCCAGTGTTTCAATACCACGCAAGAGATTTCTGAAGGTCGAGGATTGGTCCTCGTCGGTCACGTAGTTACTTATCGTGGTCAACCTCCTCTTGCTGTCAAGATCAATTCTCATAGTCGAATTTTCTCGATCAAAGGCGAAGCTCGTTCTTCGACCAGTGCTGATCTCCTCGATCGTGAGGCTGTTTACGGTGGCCTCGACAATAACAACACTGTAAGGTGTGAGCTTGTTGGACCCTCCCTTCAAGACGAAACGAGACACGCTGAGGGTTCCATGCTTGCCAGGAAAAAGAACAATCCCAGCGCGAAAGCAGCCAAGAACAACGAAAAAGTCATTTCCGCGGCTTGGCGTCTGCCAAACTGGAGTCTGGTTCATATTTGCGACCTCCCTAAGTCCCGAGCCTTCAGTCATATGGTTGTGGACATAAAAATAACTAGAGCCAGGTACTACTCGAACTGAACCCGTGGCAGCAGTCACAATCAAGGCTGGTGAGCTAAAGCCTGGTTGGACAATGGCATTCCGCAATGGACCTTCCCTCACCACTTGCACAAGTGCCACTCCATCTGTGGAACCTTGCCAGGTTAGAGAGCACGGTTTCGAAACCAGACCGTCATGCGCACCAACCCTTGTGTATCCCCGTGTCGCAAATACCTCAATAACGCAGTTGCAACGCTCTTGAGGCGGCCCAGAGGAGCACGATTTAGCATTGGCCGTGCTGATGGAGTATAAATCTCCAATATCAAGAGAACAAGCGTGGTCAGATTGAACAGCAGCATGCTTTTTGACGCTTTCGAACCGACCCGAGAGGAAGTGCTCTTCAAGATGTATTGTTGAAGCTGTCTCTCGCTCAAGCCTCACTCGACGGAGGTATCCGTGTGATGAAGCCAGCCAAATCCAGTTTACTCCTCCACGGGCGCAAGTCGCAGCTCCGACGATTGCATGCTCATCCAATTTCGACAAGTGCAGGACGAAAAAGCCGTTGGGTACCCAGGTGTGGACGATTCGTTCGTTGATAACACGAACGACCATTGTTCTTCACGTATTTTGCCGCTGCTCCGCTGCAACAACTTCACATCTTTCAATTGAAAATCCAATGTGAATTGGGGTCAGGGAAGAAAGCGGTCTCTGTAGTCGAGCAGCTCCCGCTTCGGGATGTTGAGCCGCATGTCGCACGATCAACTGGTCGAGCATGCTCTGTACTGTACACAGTATCTGCCTTGTGTATGTTCCCTGAATCTGTTTTCGTGCTTACAGTACAGTATGTGAAATGTCAGTAGCCTCTCTGAATCTACTTTGGTTTGGTCCAATCAGGCATGCTTTCTGGCATACCACAGGTTTCGGTCCATCACAAGTGGAGGTTTGGGTCTCGGGGACCGTGTGCTTGCTGCACCGTAAAAGAGTTGTTTTAAGGAGGGTAACTTTTAGTACAACTCAGAGAAGCTGCCAAAGCTATACTAGTAAAATCAGCTCAACTAAATGTATTAAATTGGTGAGCACTTGGAATTTTGTAGCCGATTCATGAGGAAATGATGAAAGGTTTTCAAGAAACTGCACTACATGATACTGTGAAAACATTGTTTATATACCAATACAATTGTGCGAATGTTACTTCTTTTCAGCTTTTATGTCCACAGTTTCTATTTTTCTTTCGTTGGTTGACTCCTTTAAAAGGCTTCTGAACGTAGAACCGAATAGAAAGAACTCTATGCAATGTTTCTATGCTTCTGTGATAAAATTAGCTTAAACAAATTTTTTACTGTAAGGCGACCTTTTCTTTTGAACAGCTTTATGTGCATTAACGAATTAGGTCTCGCCAGAATCGACGAGCAAGTGCTTTATCTGTAGTGATGGCCTTCTAGTCGCAAAACAGATGTGAAATCGCATTTGTTGTCGTCTAGAAAAAATAAAAAAAACTTGGTCCTCATATGTATGACGACTAACGGTCCGATAGACAGTAGGATACTGCATGTGATTACTTCGCCATTTGTGCCTACAGTATTTTAGTTGGGGGCAGTATTCTTCAATTGTGACGTTGAGGATAAATCCACGCGTACAGTTAGGGCGAAAATAATCAGCTGACAAAAGAATGCCCAAGAGAAGTGTGTTTGGGATTGGGAACAAAGTGAGCCTTTGTTTCAGAGTAGACTGATTGCTCCGGAGTGGTCTATCCAATTAAAACGTGAAAACACAAAGCGCGGATACAAGCTACAATGTTTTATGATCCAAGTTGTGACTACGGTGCGCAGGTACGGAAATGGGTTTAGAACGGCTTCTTCTTTCAGGAATTTATAAATGAATTTATGCACTTGAAAAAAAAATGTCAAGGATCCTGCTCTTCACAACTTTCAAACAACCGCTGAGATACGAGTGATAAAACGCCAGATTCCGCGCAAGTCTAAACCTGGCATTTGCAAACACATTATACAAGTGCGTATGGTGCCAGGTGGAGGGGGTCAGTAAGGCGGGTATTGGAGCAGCGACATTTGTCATGTCTTCCAAGCGCGATCTTCTGTCGACAAGACCTGGTGAAGCACTCAAACTTCGATCATCAGCAGAGAGAAAATTTAGGCTCGTCTTGTCAGTTGCAATAGTCGCCATCTTGGTCGCCGTGTTTTATACGTTGCTCCGCACCTCTCTTTTCATTCTCGCACAGCAGACAACTGTTTTTCGGGTCGTAAACCGCATTCAGTCCAAGTGGCGACCTCCCTACCTGGATATTTGGACCTTAACGGCACAGTCAAACTTATCGCAGCTGAGTCAGGAGTTTTCTGATGCTCATGAGATGCACCCTCAAATTGCTGAAGAGCAGCATGATTACGCTGGAAACAAAATGGTACTCGTTTTGGACTTCTGGGAAAGGATGATTAATGTGCAATCAGGTCTTAGAAGACTGGTCCAAATTGGTGTTGACTCTGGATTCTCGGTAGTTGAACCGTTCGTCTATGAGTCCAAAGTCTCTTTGAAATACGCGTTTCCAGAACACTTCATGGACCGCAACTTGACCCCTCAAACGGCAGCCCTCTATTTCAAGACGGATGACCTGTACATCACAAACAGATATATCTCGCACAAGCAGTTCAGAGATAAGATTCTGCTCCGTCCCAAGAATCGAGGGAGCTTGGTACAAGGAAGCACAGTACCACCGCAAGAGGATAGAGATATGCCTCCTCAATATCTCATTCAGGCCATTGTGTTCATCAATTGGAACAAAAGAAAGCCCAGCAACGACACCCACCCAGGCAACAGCCGTCGACCCTTCTACTGGTGTGACCACAAAATGAAGAACGTGCGTTTGCGCAAGTCGTCATACGGACACTTGGTAAGCAGAGACATTCATGTTCAGCGTGCGCTCTGCTTGTCTTCGATTGCAACGGTGGCTCCCGCTCGCTTTGGGCCGCGACTTTTTCAGGAGATGTTTTCCTTTGTGAAGAATGGGACAACGCATTTTCCACGGCGATGTGAAAGATGCGTGACTTTGGCTTTCACGAATTATAGAAAACATGCATTCACTGGTTTTGTGTCCCACACGGGAGCTATGCCTTTCAAGCAAAAGACTCCGCCCCTCGAAGTTGGGTCTGTCCCGCAAGCGCTGGCGGGGAGGATCCGAAAAGAATTGCTCAGAGATAGGCCTTACCTCGCGCTACAACTGAGGACTGGAAAGCCTTTTGTTCTCCTCGATCGATACGAGAGAGACCTTGTGTCCAAAGGCGTGAATATTACTAGGCATGACTCATTTAAATCGTGGCTTGGAAATTGCACTAGAAAGTTGGTTGCCAAGGCGCGAGACGGGGCAAAAGAACTGGGGCCCCGTGCAGTCTTTTATATTGCTTCGGACATGTACAATGATGGTTGGAAGGGCGGCGAGATGTGCCCTCAAACCGTGAGAGAAGCACTGAATAAGGCCAAATCCTTCTTGGACAAGGAACTAAAGCACGTCAGCTGGTTCAATCCAGTTGATTTCGGAATCAAGCAAGACGCGATGGGTATTTCAGGTTTGGCAGACGCCGCCATGTGCCTGAAAGCGGATCGCTTCATGTATGCAGTGCCTTCCAATTTCGGGCGATGGGTTCATGAGCAGAGGGCACCCAAGAACCAAGCTTCAGGTACAACGAGGGTGGATTGTAGAGATCCAAGGTTTGTTGGAGAATAGTAGGCGGCCTGAACAAATTCCACAGTAGCGGGGCTAGATCTTCAATCGACATAGCAGTGGGAGAATCTAAGGCGCCTCGGCAGAGAACAGAAAATTCGCGATTAAGAGTGGCATCGTTCCCTGAGTGGTTCTGTCGTTCTCTGTATGGATCCCCCGGTCAAGCACCATCTGGATTGCTGAGGAAAAACACTTCCGGTGATGATTCGAACAGGAGGATGAATTTCTTCTCACGAGAAATTGGTCGATTGATGCAAGTAGAGCGGTCAGATAGACACCTGAGGCACCACTTGTCGTTTCTCGTGGGGCACTCGGGCAGGCGCAAGAACCATCACGAGCTGGCTACAAAACCTGGGATGCGTGGCTAGCGCTCGCGGATGACTGCTCGAGGCATCATATGAAGAGAGCAACTTCTCAGGACTGCTTGCAAGGTGATCTTATAAGCCTGGTGCCAGACGAAAGACTAGTAACAGGCGCTTCTCTGTGGGCCTAGCGATACTGCATAAAGTTTAGATCCGGATGCTTGACGTGCATGTATTTGCCATGAACTAGAAAAGCCCTTGGAAAGCGCTCTAAGAGCTGCTGCTCTCCCATATTTGCAAGTCCAATATGCGCGATAAGTTCTGTGGCCTGGAAACGATGAGCAACCTCCTGAAAGACAGCTACGTTGCGCATGGCAAGCCTATATTGTGCCATGGCCACATCGAAAGCAGCAGTGCCATACGCGTCCCTGGTGAGTTGGCGAAAACGGTCGAAGCAGGGGTCACCAAGAGCGTAAATACCGTTGCCGTTGAGATGTCGTTGATACCTTGATCGAAACGGCTCTAGGCCAACATTAAAGCGTGGGGTGAAGCGCATAAGGCTACTGCGCATCCAAAACGGGCCCCATTCCGTTTCATTAAGGGCTGCGTGGAGCCAGTCGGGACGGATGGGCCATGTATCTGGCTCGAAGAAGAGCATGTGTCTAAAGCGACCTCGACCGAACACTCGAAAAGCAGCCTCCCATTGGGCGTTGCTTCCCGCGGTGTGGACAAGGTTTCGGATGGGGTCGAGCCAGTAGGAGTTGCGAGTCTCGCGGGCGGAGAGGCCAGCGGACTGAAAGTAGATGTCTGAAAAGCAGCGCGCGATGGGGGCCGTAGCTGGGCCGGCGGAGGCGATGGTGCGAAGCAATGTGACGGAATGGGCAACGGCGGGATGGGTTAGCGGGCGATCGAAAAAGAAAACGAGGGCGGGTTTCTGAGAGGGGGCATGGCGGCACGGGGGGAAGCGATCGTCGGCCCAGCGGGAGAGAGTCCAGTTAAGGCGGGGGAGCTGGGTGGCGATGAGGGGGATGACGTAGGCCACGGGGAGAGCGTAGTTGCGGGAGGGGCATGGGGTGTAAAGGGAGGGGTCGACGGTGGGCGGGGAGAAGGATAGGGTCCAGCGCAGCCAATGGAGGGTAAAAGAATCGGTGGTTAGGCAGAGGTACAGGATGGAGAAGAGCAAAAGAAGGGCGGACGCAGAGATGGATCGGGGGGCGGAGCGAAATCTGCGGGGGCGGAAGAGAGAGGAGATGAAGGTGGCCATGGAGCGGGCAGGGCGAACGGGTTTTGATGCTAGCCGTGATGGGGTCACGATTGGCATTGCATTTTTGTCAGGGATAGGACGCGGCATCAGAGAGGAAAAGGGGAGGTCTAAGGGGACCGCGGACTGAAGATTCGGTAGGTTAGCATTGAAGGGAGGCAAGGCGGACGGGAAGAAACGGCAGTAGTGGTGAGGGTGAGGGTGAGAACGGAACGTATACAACACAGGGAAGAAGAAGAATGGCACTACGAATGACAAAGGAGACTACAGAAACTCCTACACGGCGACCACGTGTTGTCGTCATACACGTGGTGGCTGAACTGTAGAATACGTGCCGCGCTGGATTCGAACTTGACGCATGTGCTGCACGCAGCAAAACTCTCGCATGGTGTGCGTGGACGCCAACAGGGACAGCGCATGTGACATGGTTTTCCTATTCAAACCAAATCTCGCCCGCCCAGTTGCACGACGCCAAGTGCCGTTGTCATCCGAATATTCCCACACCAATCAACACGGGCCGCGCAAAGCCTCCTTCCGCCAACCATGTGACCGCGACCTCTCATTCCCCCAAACCTCCCGTCCTCCACCATCCCCTCGCCATTATAAAGTTCCCCCCCTCTCTCCCGCCCACCTTACCGTCGCTGGTGCTGTCACCCACCTCCCCCCTCGCCCCTCCCCCATGGGCGGCAGCTCCTCTCACCGCCGACGCAACCGTCGCTTCTCTTCTCGTCGCCGTACCCCCCACGAAGCCGCCTCCCCCTCCACCGAGCTCTCGTTCGACCACCTCGCCATCACCAATGGCGTTGGTTACAACTTGCTGCTCAAGTCCGGCTGGCAACCGGGCTCCCCTCTTTCGCAGTCTCCGCCTCTGCACCGCGAGCCGCTACCGCTGCGCGTAAAGCACGGCCGCGGTGGTCTCGGCGCTTACCCCACGGTGCCTGCCTCTGACCCCGTCGATATCCCGCAGCCAGCCTCCGACAGTCACCTCAACTTGCCGCTCGGTGACCCCTTGGGCTCGCTGCTTTCCGACCCGCTCCGCCCGAGATGCCGCTTCGATGACGCCCATGTCGTGCCGAGCTTGCGCGCCCTGCGCAAGCATGAGCTCACGTGCCCGGCCAATCCCAGTCGCGGCTCGCCGGTCGTCGACGCGCTCATGGCCAGCATGAGCTTGGCCCACTCGGAAGACGAGGAGGAGGAGGAAGATGATGATGACATGTCAGATATCTCGAGCGAGAGTGACACGGAGAGCGAGAGCGAAAGCGAGGAGGAGACTTGCAGGGGGATAGGGTTTGAGAGGCTCGCTATGTAATGAGCATTGGTTTTGACTTGCTCGAATCGATACTATGGCAGGGAGCTGCCTACTTTCCCAACATCATTTTTTATGGACTTTTTCATCCCACGCAAGGATGAAAGAGGAACGGGAAGTCGGCCAGCGTTTTGCGACCTGTCTTGTAAAATGGCAATCCTTTTCTATATTTCCCTGCCCTTTCTCTAGTAAGCAGCTGTGAGTAGTGGGCTTCCTCACTGTCTCACGGTCGTCGTGAGATAGTACAAAGGGCGAGCAAAGTCAGCGTTCGTCTACCGGGCGCAGTTTCCACTGCCTCCCATGTACATCTTCAAAGGAGCACGCGCAGGTGGAACCGCAATACCCCGAGCTCTTGCCTGTTCTCTGTGGACGTCCGCAACCGCCGGATAGCACCCTATGTATTTACTGTAATTAATATCACTGTACGGCTGTACACGTGTCTATATTTACAGTAGGGCATATCTTCCCACTGCCAACGTGTTGCTTACACAAGCATTGTTTTTTTTTTGTTGACCAATCGAGACACCGCGTCCACGTGGGGAAAAGATCCCCAAGCGGACCATGTCTGTCCCGCCGTATTCTTAGGTTGCACAAAGTGGGCCTCCCTACGTGTCACACATTCCCGCCATCCTCATCCTCTCGCCCCATTCCCCAACACCACTCTGTCCTCCCCCACCTGCAAGACGTTCGCAACCAACCCCCTCACCGTCCGTCCGGTCAGCTTTTCTCCTCCGTTCCCTCCCCATCCCCCCAAAGTCCCTGCCCATCCCCTCGCCCTTCTCCCCATTCCAAAATGTCTTCGGCTCCCTTCCTCGACACCGCCCACCCCCGAATCTTCCTCGTCCATACCGTCCTTGCCGTCCTCGCCTGGGCTTTTCTGGCGCCGCTCGGCCACATTCTCTCCCGCCTCACCAAGCCCGACTCCCCCACCCGTGCATTCACGTTCCACCGCTGCCTCATGATCCTCGCCTCCCTCCTCACCATTCTCCTCTCCCTCATTGCCGCCATCTTCTCCTCAGACAACACCCCGCTCGTCCACAGCGTCCTCGGCGTCGCATTGCTTCTTCTTACTACGCTGCAGGCTACTATGGGTACTCTCAGACCTAAGGAGAAGACCGGTGCCCATAGGATACTTTGGAGACTGGCTCATAGAGTTGTTGGGGGCGCCACTATTGCCTTGGGCGCGTTTTTGGTCCATCATTCGCTCATCGTGTTTCAGCTCGACGGGTGGGTGAGTATCCTCGTCAACGGGCTCTTGTTAATCATGGCGTGCGGCTTCGTCGCTGTGCATGTTTTTGTTGACAAGGGTGCGGGCGGCGAGCAGCAAGGGTACCTCCCAGTTGCACACCAAGATGATGTGGGTGTTGATAGACAACTTGCACAGCCAGTATAGAGAAGGGGAACAAGAAGTTGAAGCCTGACTGCGACCTGATGATGCTGTTCTGGTCTCCTATGTGTGACCCAGAACGATTCCCTCGACGCGTGCTACATTTTTCGCCAGCTTCGTTGTCTCTGCACTTCAGGTTTTTCTAACTCGCCATCTATGCAGTGCACACAGGGTCACATTTAACAAAGCAACTGAAGCACACAAAACGCATGTACAAAAACGACCTCAACGTTCCCACATAAAACCTCTCTCAGACCTCGCTCCCAAAACGTAGCGCCAAGTGCGCAACTTGGGGAGCACTCAGATCTGGCTCGCACCCCAGCGCGCCACCCTGCTAGAACATATACCCACGCGTCCATTCCGTTGACCAGCATCTACACTGCTTGGCTCGTTCCCTCGATCACGCGGTCGATCAGTCCATATTCCAGGGCCTCTTGGGCGCTCATAAAGTTATCTCGGTCCATGTCCTTTAGCAGCTGCTCATATTTCTGACCCGTCATCCGCGCATACTCGTGCGTTAGATTCTCCCGGATGCGAAGGATTTGCTGTGCCTCTACTTGAATATCCGACGCTTGCCCTTGTGCTCCGCCCTAAAAATTATTATTGTCACATATGCAGTATGTTAGTTTTCAACGTTGCAGTTCTCAACGTTGCTCGCATCGCCTAAGGGGAACAGGTCTCTCCCGCTTATGAAAACGAGAATCGCTACTTACCATCGGCTGATGAATCATAATCCTCGAGTGGACCAGGGCCAACCTCTTCCCCTTCTCCCCCCCGCCAAGCAAAAACGAAGCCATGGATGCCGCCAAGCCGACATTGATCGTCACGATTTCTGACTTGATGTGCTGCATTGTGTCGTAAATGGCCATACCAGCGATGACGGAGCCGCCGGGCGAGTTGATGTACAAATAAATTGGCTTGGTGTTATCCTCCGACTCGAGATACAACATGACGGCAATGATCTGGTTGGCGATTTCGTCGTCGATCTCCTGACCAAGGAAAATGATCCGCTCCCGATACAGGCGGTTGTAGATGTCGACCCAGTCAGCTTGCGGTGCACCGGGCACGCGGAAGAGCACCTGCGACATTTCAAACGAGCAAAACAAGCATGCGTGTTAGAACAAGAGTCTCGCCAAGTATCCGCGGGCTACAAACACAGTTTCAGAACCAGGCGTGAACGGAAAGGTACCTTTGGAACACCGATGGGCATCATAGTCCACCGGCCAAGCGGCTTTTCCTGGCATGGGGCAGCGACGGCGCGCTCCGTACGCGCGAAGAAGGACAGCGGACGGCCGGAGCCGAGGAAGGCCGAGGGCTGGCGTGGGGAGCAGGCCGGGGCGTAAGCGCGAGTGCGCGGAAGGACGGAGGCGCCGGCAACGAAGGCGGTCGAATTCTTCATGGTGGGGCGGCGCGGAGGATGGTGTGGAGACAGTGGGGACACGGACGGGGGTGGAGCGGTGAATCGGGAAGTGGTAGGCAGGGTGCAGGTTGGGGCGGCGATGACAGAGGTGGGGGTCCGAAATTGGACAGTGCGAAATTGGACAGTCCGTGTTTGAGCTCGTGCGTCGCGGAGGCCGAGTGGTTGGAAAAGTGATCGATGACCAATCGCGCGGCTACAGTGTGTCTGATTAGAGCTGTTTTGCTGCAGTCGAATTTACAGTACCGCCTCTCCCCAGGATGTGATTGCTGCGGCACATAGAAAGCATTGTGTCTCTCCAGGCTGGAGCCAGACGCGGCATCTCACAGGGTAGCACCTAACACTCCCTCACACCTGCTGCTTGTTTCTTTCAGGGAGACGCGTCTACGCCCCTTGGTAGTGTGGAAAGCACGGCGTCAGGGACTTGGGTGCGCGACAAAAGGGAGTATGACACACAGTGCTCCACAAGCCAGGTGTTTATAAGTTAGTTATACTCACGCGCTGATCCGCTGATCTCTGTCCCCTGCGCACACACGCGCACTCGTCAGCCCTTTTCCTCCATCTCTAGCGACGAAGAGCTTTGCCGCTTCTCCAGCAGTGTCTCGCCGAAGCTCTCATCCCCCTCTTCCTCCTCAGCAAACAGCTTCGACTTGCCCGCGCTCTCCGAGGCGGCGCGGTTCGCGGCTTTCGCAGCGGCAGCCTTTGCGAGGGCGAACCAAAAGCTCGCGACGGCGCCGAGGGCGACGCCGACCCAGCCCGCGGAGGAGATTTTGGCGTCAAACAACACGGCGCCGAGAATGACGACGACGACCTTGTTGGCGGCGCCCACAAATGAAAGCGTGCTACCGGAGGCGGTCTGAATGACCCAGAACACGGAGGCGCCGATTCCCGCGGCGAGGATGCACGACAGTAAGAAGAGGAAGCGAAAGCGTAAGGAGGTTTGCAGAAACTCGTGGAAGAAGGCTGGAATTTCGGCGGTGGCAATGGCCATGGGAAAAATGAAGTTGCAAGCAATGAGGTTGCTGTGTAGGGTCTTGCGAAGTGGGGAGAAGGAATTTGTGAGGCAGAATCGCAGCGAGACGACGTAGGCGATGTTCATGAAGACGTTGAGGGAGGCCCAGAGGTAGCCGACGGCGTTGAACTCGATATCATGGAAAAAGGTGACGGCGTTTGCAGACAGGATGAGGGCCATGGCGCCATAGGTGGCGGCGGTGACGCTGTCGCCGAAGACCAGGCGCTCGGTAAGGGCGACGCCCATGGGGGCCAGGGACTTGAGGACGGTGAGGACGGGGAGGGAGATGTGGCGCAGCGCGCAGGCATTGGTGAAGATGAAGGCGGTGAAAAAGGCGCAGGGGACGAAGAGCTGGCGCAGCAGGGAGAGGTGGAGGAGGGGCTGCGACGAGGAGGTAGCCGAGTAGTAGACCAGGAGCAGGAGAGTGACGATGACGCTCTGGATGCCGAGAAGCGTCCAGGGGAAGTCGAGACGGGCCTCGGAGAAAATGGCCTTATTGGCGAGCGTGAGCAGGACGGAGCACACGGCGTAAGAGAGGCAGGCGAGTACGGCTTGAGGTGGCGAGCGGGCGAGGAGTGGGACGCGCATTGGGGAGACTGGTAGGGGGGAGGAGGGTGGGGGGAAGATAGGGTGTTGGGCAAGCCTGAGCAAGGTTTCGGGAAAGAGGGGGGGAGAG